CGCGCACTATCGCTGAGGGTGCCTGCTGCGCCCTAAAAGTGGGCAGTTTAAATCTACTACTACATTGCTTGAAGAACAATCAAATATAATTGAAGCCAAGCAATGCATGCTATTTATAGACATTTTTCAGAATCACCTGTTTTGTATTGATTGTTTTAAGTATAGCTATGAAGGTTTGATTTTTAAGAGTCCCTTTGAAGATGTGGCAGATGTTGGCTTTGCTAATAATGCTGGAAAGCATAGCAGGTTCAAAGTTACAAAAATCTTTAACACATATAAAAAATAACTGTGTGCTTTTCTATTAAATTTGGTTTTGTTCAATTGTCAATAAACTATGATGGGAGCCTACAGTCCATAAATATTTGCTTCTAAACCACTAAGCTTGTTGAGTTTGTATATGTGTGCACCCATGTGTGTTTGTGGAGGGGAAATATGTATAAATATATGCTAGAACATGTTACGGGTTATAGTTTTAGCAACACTATTATGGATAAAAATTTAAAGTTTATAAATATTTGGGCTTTTTGCAATATTTTCTGGTGCTTAATATTATATTAGAATTTTACGTGGTCATGGTCATATACACACAGTCTGGCTATGAGATGCAGGGATACAGAATTTTGCTTCTGACTTTGCCCTGGATTTATGTACTAATTTACCCTTGACTATAAATACATAGTGATTATAAAGTGCCTAACAAAATACAAATGGTCTTTACTATGCATGATATGATTTTGTCTAATATTATTATAAATTTCAAGCATTCAGAAATCACTTTAATTTTAGTTTTTAGAAATATTGAAATATTAAAATGTGTTATACTCGATCAGAGATATGTGTATTAATACTACACCAGGACTATAATCATTTTCAAAGTTGCTTTAGTTTCTGCTAGATTGAGATGTCCTTATAATATTATGAGATGAAATAGTTTTGAACATAAATTATGGAAGACCAAATAAAATCATTACTGGAGAAAGAAATCATGAATTTAAATCCATCTAAAGATCCAGCAAATATTAATTATCTCAAACACTCAAAATGGCAAATTAAATTTTATTTTCAACAAGTGTATAAAAATCTAACAGAAACTATTGTGATATTTCCATTTAGTCAGTCAACATTTTTTCAGAATATCTCATCAAAGGAAAAGCTCATTCTAAGTCCCCAGGCATTTTATCCTTGGTGATGACTACTTGTATTTCCCACTCAAGTTGTAATCTATTAATACTTTATGCAGCTGACATAAACATTTATTTTTGTTTGTTTTTCCAGTACCCTAATCATCAGCTTCAACATTAAAAATGAACTTTATTTCGTTACATGGTTATTTCTCACCAAAGGGGTGGGGGAGATAAGTCATACTAAATTATCCTATTTTCAAAAGAATTTTTTATTAAAATAATTTAAGGGAATCAATTCTTGAATCCCACCTTCTCTTTTTACCCCAACCAAAATAACATGTACCTGTGTGAAAATTCAGCTTGCTCTAAGAAACTTAGGGGTATTCATTCAGTTCAGGAAACATAAGGAATAATGTATCACATAGGTTTCTAGCTCAGAAAGTAAAATGAACAGTAAGAGCTTCTGGTAATTGCAAAAATACTAAAGTGAGATTTGCTTCTAAAAGTTACACTGATATCAAAAGCTCAGTTTATAAAATGGTCACTGCATTCTAAAATTGACTTTTTTTTCCTAATGAAAATGAAAAGCCTTCTTATGATTAACCTTTCAACTCATTGTCTTAAGACACTTTCACTTATAGTTAATAAAGTACATTAAATATGAATGACACTACTAACTTATAAAACTAATTTGTGATGGCGCCTTAAAAGTTCACCCCTGACCCTGGAAAGTAAAAGTTAGATTTTGAGAGTGTGAAGAAGTGATATCATTACCGCCAAGGAATATGAAATATACCGCTCAATCATTGTCATTTATGTAGCATCTTACCTAAAGCTTTATAAAGGATAGACATTTTTCAATCCTTCAACCAATATCTGGGATTAACTTCTAGGGCTATTAAACCAATTCCCCAAAGGGAGAAAATAAGCAAATGTTATATTAAACAAATGACATCTTCCAAAAAGATGGAACTCAGGTTGCATGCATTATAGCTGTGAAAGAAAACGCTCAACTCTCTTAACTGTAAAGTATCTTTTAACAATTTCATAATGAAACGGATAGGTAAGGGCTTTGAAGCGTTGTCTGGAAAACTAAGTTTCTCTGGATTGCTACAATTTACTTGGCAAGCTGTGCCTTCAAGCACTGGAGTTCAGGCAGGTTCCCCTTTTGCGTGGCTTCTCCAGTTATCCCCACTTAGATCGGCGCCTCCTGCGCTCATCTTCCTATGCCACCTCAGGCATGTAGCGAACTAGCACTACCCAGTTGCTGTTTGCTTCCCAGGACTTGTCCCCGATAATACCCCCCTGGGAAAGGATTTTATTCTCTCTTTTTAAAAAACAGATTATCTATTTAGATCAGCACCACACGAGTATGAGCTATTATTAAGATTGGTCTTTCTTCCGGATTCTGAGCATCTATTTATTAACAATTCTCTAACACATTTCTTAAAATCTTCCGAATTCCTAGATAAGGTCTTCTTCCCCAAGAAAGGGAAAAATTTACCATTGGAATAGGGTGCTATTTAAAGAACTCTGAAATCAGTATTTAAAAAAAAAGCTAAAACTTTTTTTTCTCATGCGCTCTGCCAAGTTCCATTGCAAGTTCCAAATATTGTGCAATAATTTGGAAATCCAGTTAACGATGGGAAAAATCGAGCCACTCAGAGGAGGGAATTTGCAAGGGAAAAGTCAAGGAGCGGCACCCGCACGCACGCCTGCCCAGCGGACTCCGCGTCCCAGGGCGCACACCCCTCTCTCCCCAACGCTCTGTTGCGAGGTCACGCTTCGCAATCGATTTCACATGCTGTCACTTGTCCTTCTTTTCCTCGACCTTCTGGTAAACTAGTTTGGGACCTCGAAGAGCTTAGAGCTGCTGGTGTATATGTGTTGCCCTCAAATAAACACACGCCCCCAAGTAACAGGAGGAAAGCCGCACCGCCGAATTTGGCCTGGAGTGCGACAGAGGGCAAGACACTTCCCATCTTCCCCGCCGGCTCCCAGTAGAGCCAGAATCTTTTCTGGCATTTCTCCGCCCCCTTTTCAACCCGGCGCGCACTATCGCTGAGGGTGCCTGCTGCGCCCTTACCTGAACTGTCGCTTTTCCTCTTGCCGCCGCTTCTCTTCTCCGCCTCGGCGGGTGACAGCGCCTGGCGGCCATAGTCCCCCGGTGCGCACGCGGCTCCGGTCGGGGTGCTGGAGCCCAAGCTGGACGAATTGGAACACAGGACGGGCGGGCTGCTCCCCAGGTCCGGGGGCCCTCCGGAGTCGGGCTGCAGGCAGAGGCTGTGCCGAGCCGCGCTCGGTGGGGAGGACATCTGCGGGAGGTGCCAGTTGGTTTGCAGGGCCTGGTGCTGCTGCTGCTGATGGTGGTGGTGGTGGTGATGGTGGTGGTGGTGGTGCCCCCTGTGATGCTGACTGGCAAACATGCCCTCCTCGTTGGGGTATCCCGCGATTATGCAAGACGAGGAAGAAGTAGAAAGCTCGGGGTAGGACATATGGTCAGATCTTCCATGGAGGGCGAGAGAGGACTGGGAGAACGGGTGCAAGCCTTGCGCGGTGGCGTGAGGGCTGCGAAGGCAGCCAAAGAGCGGGTGTTCCATAGCATGCAAATCTCGGGTTCCAGGCAGAAGACTTCACGACGGTTCCAAACGCCACCACCCGCTGTCACTTTTCACTGGAAACCGTGAGACTTTTCCCCCCTCCCAAAGCAATAGCCGCGCGCGCTTCTGCAGAGCTCAGATAATCCTGGTCCTGAGCCCTAGCGGCCGGTCTCCTTTACATAGGAACACTCGGACCTGGAGGAGCTTCCTTGAGCTACTCAGATGTCAAGAGTGAGCGAGGTCGAAGCCAAAAGAAGGTGGTCCCAGAGAACTGCTTCAGGGGGAAATGGCTCCGAGAGGTTATAAATAGAGTGTAATGTGAGCTGGGGGCTGGCTTAGGAGCCCAGCGCTGACCACATGTAAACTCCCTCCAAAACTCCCGCTCAGTGTGCGCCACGCGCTCCAAGTTCCACTTCCTATCGCCGCTGGACAGACGCAGCAGCGCGTCCACGCCCGCCCGCCCCAGCCAGCTGCCAGGGCTGCGAGCGGCGCGCCCAGAGCCCAAATCCCGCCCCGGCGAGCAGGGGCTCTCCCCTCCAGGATTTGGAGGCCAAGTGCGCCGAGGTGCACACCAGCCGCAGCCCCGCACCCAGTTTGCGACCCGCTCACTTGTCTCTCGGGAAAAGCGACTTGTCAGTGTCATTTGGGAACTGCCACCTGCAGGAAACCTAGGGGTGCGCCTAGCCCTTGGGGAGCACAGAAGAAGTAATAGGGTTAAAAGAAAAGATCAGAGCTAGTTTGGCCCGTGCTCTGAGTTTTTCAAATTTCGCATCTCCCCTTGTCTTGGGCGCCGCAGAGCGCCTAGGTTTTCGCGGCTGGTGTCTGTGGGTGGGTTGTTAATAGGCTCCCACGCCAGGTCCCAGGTTTCAAGCTTGTGCACTGAGGACTGGAGAAGGCAGTTCTCAGTGCGGAAAGGAAAGGGATGGGGTGGGGCGGGTGAGAAGAAAGCCAGAGGCGGAGATGATTGCCGATGCCCGCGCCCTGGCATCTCACGTGCGATGCCAGGTGGAGTTTGCCTCTGCCCCGCTTTCCCGGTACCGATGAATTTCCTAGCCACTTGTCCACCAAGAAATTTTCTTGAGCCAGGAATATTCCAAAGCGATTTTGCCCCGGTCGTAAGACATGCGTAGATGGCAAGCATGTTTCTAGCCTTTCCCCTCAGAAGCCAGCCCAGGTCCCCTCATTTCCCTCCGGAAATCTACTCTCTTTCCCACTCAAATATAAATAAGCTAATTGCACCCTTTCCCACCACCACGGGTCCATTTACTGAAAAACATTACAATTCGATGTTCCCCAAAGTTGACTAGGCTTGGGCACTTTGGATATCCCAGGTCACAATTTTGCATCTCCAAAAATGAGTCAGAAAACTTGTCACCAGTGAGCACGCAAGAGCGAGGGCTGGACTTTGATACTGCAACTTGCTTGGGGAGGGTGGGCGTGGGGGTGACAAGGTCTGCTGGGGGCAGAATCGTTTACACAAAACAAGAGAGTGGCAAGTAATGAGGCGGAGGAACAGTCAGGTCCGGTCAGGGACCTGTTACATCAGGAGAATATCTGCATTCACCTATCCTGCCCCAGGTCCCAAATGCGCCACCAGCAGTGTCGCCCGCTATTTTCACTGTCTCAGGTGTCCAGAGGATGGTGACTAGGTCTTTGAAGTTGTTAATGGGATTAATGGGTACAGCAAACTGAGCTAGACATCTGGTTTGAATTAAGAAAAGTATTGATTAATCTTTGAGAAGTGTCCCCAAGGCAGAACCTTTCCCCTCGTCCAGTCCTGCTTAAGCCTGCCCATCTCCCTTTTCTTTTAAGTCGCGCTACAGAATAGTGGCTTCACAATAAACCTTCACATCCGTGTGAAAGATCGAATTGTTTTCCATTGCTTAGAGGTGGGGTGGAGTGGGGGTTGATCGGGAATTCTGAGATTTGTAAGCGCTGCTTTCTTTAACGGAAATTGAGCCCTATTTTGGGGGAAATTAGTTTTGCAGACTTCGTTAAAAAAAAAAAAAAAACTAAAACTTTTGTTCACCAGCTGCTCAGCTTTTCAGTCTGAGTCTGAGCTGGAACCTGCTGCAAGTCTTTGACGGTAAGACTTTCTTTGCCGATATTTTGGGAATCTAATATGCTTTTAGACTTCGAAAGGGGGTGTTCTCCAGGTTGCACGTTTCTAAGGATTTTAAGCACTCGCAGGATGGCGTCCAGGACTTAGATCTTAAAAATATTTCTTCCTGCCACTCCCCACGCCCTTGGCTCTTTAAGAATAAAAAAAAGGGGGGGGGTCCTATTCCTCCAATATCGTCGGAATATTTTTTGAAATTTCATTGTGTTTATGGTTTCAATATGTGCTCTGATATTAAAAGTTGAAGTACAAAGAGCAACACTAAACTTCCCCAACTCGTGTACCTCCTCTATGGATTCTGGGTGAAAGCATTATTTTAAAGTGAAATTTAGGCGACCACCTCAATAAACCTAACCAGAAATAATTACATAATATAATGCAGTCAACTAAAAGCATTGTGGAAAATGTCAGACAAGACTGACTAAAAATACACTTGATCCGCAGACATCAGTAAAAAACCATCCATAAAGGTCCTTTTGGTTTGCATTACATTGGTTAGAGGAACCTAAGCAATTACCAAATGAATGGATTTGAATTTAACCAGAGTGTTGCAGGTAACTAGCAACTAGAAAACACAAATCTTTCATCCCCAGAGCTGCCACGTCTTGAACCTGCGCAGTGACTGTGCTGGCTTTTTTCTCATTCACTGTGTCAGATGTTAACAACGTGTCCAGAAATTTCTCTACAACCTGCCTCAGTCAGTCATCCTCTGAAACTGTGGGGGCCAGAAATCTGGGAAGAAAAAAAATTAAAAAGGAAGGAGTCTCTTCTAAAGACGTGCAATTAAAATAAAGCTAACAAGAAAGATCTTTTTAATTGAAGACACAAAACATTTAATATCAGGAAAAATTACAAAGTCCAGATTTCTACTAGAAAGCATACTATAAGGAAAATATTTAGAAGGCAAAAAAGTGTGATTCAATGAAGGAAGGAATAAAAAGGAGGTCTTGTTGCTTTCCAGAATTAAAT